TCCCACCTTCTTCAAATGCAACAAGAGTGGTGTCAAGCGTTTGTGTAACGTTTGTTCAGTATGATGTCTGATAATATAGCAGACATCATCTCTGACATTGCATTTGAGATGCAATGTCAGAAGTCTTGCATCTCAAATGGCCAGACTTGTGATTCAGAGAGAATGCCAGACTTCTGACATTCTCTCTGATTGTAAAATATAAAATATGTGGATGTATTTGTAAGTTAAACTTGTGTTTTAACCCTGCAACTTATTCGATTTCCATGTCTGACAAGCGTCCAGAGTAAGGACTGACTGAAAAAATCCCTCTGTGGTGTTTTTGAGGGAGAGCTGATGAGAAGGAGGCTTTCCACCCTGATGATACAGCAGCACAAACTCGGCAGTGTGTGAGAAAGAGGAGGAGGCAGAAGAGCCAGCGCCAGCTGAGAGATGGAGAGAGGAGACAGACTGTTCTTTCTTTGTGAAAGACTGTTTGAAAAGTTGAAAATAACTAACTATCTGTTCTGAATCAATCTTATTAGGTAATGTTAAAATAATTTTATCATTAAATATTTTCACTATAGGAGAAAGTGCTCAGGTAGTTACAGGTAAAAACTGTGAATGACAGTAAAACGTTCTATATTCAGAAACTTAATCAACACCAGAATATACCTGACAATAAATGTCAGTATTTTTTTCTTGACTTATATAAAACATGGTGTATCTTGGATTAATAGCACTACTGTGTTTGTTGCATATATATTTTACAGTCCCGTGGGCTCAGCCTCAGAAGAGGAAGCAAATAAGACTAGACTGTCCCATTTAACAGCCTTGCACTTCCAGCCTTCAAAGCTCCCAGCCTATGTAGACTGAAGGCTGGGAGCTTTGAAGAATGCAGGCCCTGAATTGGGACACACCTAATATGATATTTCATCTGACGTCTGACGCTGGTTTCCTGAGACCTGACATATTTTTTTCATTCTTTGTTATTAAAAGGTAGTTATCTGGAGTGTCGTATGCCACATGATAAAATACCAAAATACAGTCTGGCTCATGTAATGCAGGCTGTGCAACACCTGTACAGTTTTAGCTATGACTTTAGCCATCCACGGATTGCTTAAGTACATAATGTTTATCATCAATCCAAACAAAACAAACAAAAAGAATAATTACCTCAGTTATGTCCACAGGCAGCTTATGATTCCCAAAGCAGTAAAAATGAAACTTGTAACTCCCACTACCTTACTGAGACACCTGAAGAGCTTCTGTTTTTCTACACCCACAAGCCAGAGCTTATGTTCAAACAACCACCAGGGGGTTCTGTAGTGTCAGCCTTAGCTTCATTGACAAGGTCTGTTTATCTCACATGCGCATTAGAAAGACAGATAAAGCCTCACAATCATTAACAGTTGCGTTCTGATTAAGTTAAAATAAATTATTCTCAAATTTTATTTTGTCTCTTTTATTTCTCCATATCACATTACAGCCACTGACATTTATACATGTTATTGTGAAGTCATACTACTAAGAACCTAATAAAATTACAGTTAATTTTAAAATTGCACATGTGTACAATGTGCACAATTGCAATACTGTGCAAAAATCTTGAGTCACGTGTCATTTTTCATATGTTTTGGTTCCAAGGAGGCAGATTTTCTTTTCTTTTTTTTCCTTTTAAATCTTAGCCTTGAGCCTGTTCTCCGTGATTTCACTCTTATCAGTCCAGTCCTTCTGTAGCTGACCACACACTGTGCAAAAGTTTAGAGTTGTATGTCTTTTTTTCTCTGGGATTCCTTAAGGTCTTTCAAAGTCTTTTAATCTTTTTAGATTATTAGGCCACTTATAACTGACTATGAATCAAGCAAAAGAAAGGAAAAAAAAAACACATCATGCCAGTGTTGGATTCCCCTCTGTCCCCTTCTGGCCACATGTGCCTCAATTTTATTCAACAACCTAGACATCCACATTACTCACACTCTCATAACATATACATGTAGGGCCTTGGGGGTGGGCATATTAAACGCCATCCAG